AAAATTATCTTTACCTTTTTGATCATCTTGGTTTGAACCATCTTTACCTTTAATATTGTTATCATTGTCTTTTTGATTTCCATACTTTAAATTACCGTCTTTACCTTTTTTATCTCCATATTTTAAATTACCGTCTTTACCTTTTTTATCTCCATATTTTAAATTATCTTTTTGTTTATTATCTTTATTTTTCTGATCTCCGTATTTTAAATTATCTTCTTTTTTCTTACCTTCTTCACCCTTTTGATCTCCATATTTTAAACCATCTTTCTGTTTATCATCCTTATCATCCTTATCTCCGTATTTTAAATCGTCCTTCTTATTATTCTTTTCATCATTTTTTTCATTTTGTTTTTTAACACCTTTCTTTTTATTTCCACTCTCATCATTATCTTCACCATCAACATCGTTATAAAACCAATTTTTCCAACCTCCCTCTTTTTTCTTTTCTTCTTCCTTATTTTTCTTATTTTTATTTTTTACTTCTTTGTCATTACCTTTATCATCAAAATGAATTGAGTTTTTCTCATCTTTATCATTTTCTCCACCTTTCTTATTATCTTCATTTTTGTCATTTGTTGCCATTTTTGGAAACAAAAACAATAAATTTTTAAGTATTAAATGTTTGTTTTTTGTTTTACCTTAAATATGTACTTAATGTATTTTATTCTATAAAATTAGTAAACATTTTAGTTTTAAAACATAATTCACCCGTTTTATTCCTAATTTTGCCTACACATTCAATTAATCCTATTTTAATTTGTTCATAATTTTCATAAGATTTAACTATTTCCTCGTGGTATTCATATAATTTAATAAACACACGTGTATTAAATATTATGTTCACATCTATGTTTTCTTCTAATTCCTTTAATATAATTTTTATACTAATGACATCAAGTAATGAAATATAATTAAGAACTTCTAATAAGTCTAAACCTACTAGAAAATTATAAAATTCACCTTTAAGTATGTTACTATTCTCTTCAATATTTTCTAAATAACCTACAAATCGTTCATACCCCTTTAAATCTATAATCAATCCTTCTTTTAATATAACTTTATCAAATTCATCATCATCTTCTTCCCCTTCTATTAATCCAGCCTCATCAATGGAGTAATAAGCCAATCCCTGATTAGTCGTAAAAATCATAAAATCATCATTAACAGCAATCAATCCTCTTTCATATGATTTATATTTTCTTAATTTGGAAAATTTCCTATTATAGATAATTCCATCATTATAATAAAGAAACAATTCATCATCAACATACTCAACATTTAATGAATCACCAATAAATGTTTTCCTACACTCACCAAAATCCATACCCCAAACTTTAATTAACTTATCGGCGCCACAAGAGGTCAATAAAGTACCATCAGGTGAAAACTTAAATGATCTAATTGGTAATGAGTGGCCATAAAGGGTAAATTTTAAATCCAAATTTGGATATGAATAAACATAAATTTTAGAATCCATACAAGAAAAAGCAAATAAATTAGTTCCATAAAATGATGAATAAGTAACGGTATCTTTAGGTGTAAGTCTATTAACTTCCTTCCACTCAAAATTGTAAAATATTATTTCTTTAGAACAAACTGCTATGTGATTCTTATTTACTGCTAAAGAGTATATTTTATTTTCTAATAAAATATTTTTATCAAATGAATTTCTATTTATAGAAATTAAATTAGAATCCGTTCCTATAACAATTTCATCGCCCACAACAACAAAACAAATACCACCAACTAAATCAATCTTGGTTGTAATAAACAACTCATCTTTATTAAATGACCATATCAACAACTTATCTTTAGAGAGTGTAAATACTTCATCATTAATAACCTTTATGTCAATAATCTCATTTTTATGAAAAAAATTCATTTGTTTCCCACTGTCTTCCATTTCAACAGAATTATTTTTGCCAAACATAACAATCCTTCCACTATTATTACAGATATCAACTCTTCTAATATTTTCATCAGTATCAATTGATCTGATAAACTTAAAAGTTTTTCCAATTTCATAAATAAAAACTTTTCTACTACAATGAATTAATAAGTAATTAAGATTAACAACTAAATTTCTAAACTTTTTAAACTCTGAAAAAACTCGTTCAACTTTAGTTTTATAATCAACTAGTAAAGCTTGACCACTATTCAGTATAACAAATAACTCTTCACCTTTAATAAAGATGTCTTTAATAAAGTCTTTAAAAACAATCTGATCAATCAACTTTAAATTATCAAAAATTCTAACAGTTCTATCATTACAAGCACAAAATATCAAATTGTTATTATAAAAAGCCTTGCATATGGATGAATTAATATGAGTGATTTTCTCAGTATAAATATCCAAATCTAGAGTAGAAAATGATCCATCTAATGATCCTATTAAAACTTTATTATCTTTAAAATATTCAATTGATGTAATTTTCTTTCTATGTAATTTGTATTTATTAGAGGATTCATCATTAAAATTATTAAATATTTCAATAGATCCATCTTCAAATCCCAAAACCAACTTACTATCAAATAACTCATCACAATCTTTCCTAATAACTTGTAAACTTGTAATGTTTAAATTAGTAGAACCAAATACTTTTAAAATTTCCATAGACTTAGTATGAAATAAATAAACTCTTGAATATAAACTTATCGGCATTCTTTTGATTGGCGCCCCATTTCATGATTGGCGCCCCATACAAAAAACTAACTAGCTAAAAATGATTGGCG